TACCTTGTCCACTCTTGAGGGAGTGAAGTGGCACGCCATTGTGGTCTTGATTTGCATTCCTCTGGTGGCTAATGACATTGAGGGTCTTTATGTGCATGATGGCCCGTGAGTGTCCGCTTTTGTGAAATATCAATTCCAGACCTTTGCTTTGTTAAGATGGGCTATTTGGGTGTTTGTTGTTGAAGTCACAGGTGTTTGTATATATTTTGATTATTCTGTCCAGGTGTAGAGATTCCTAAGATGTTCTCCCAGTTCGTAGCTTGTCTTTTCACTTTTTTAAATAAGAAAGTCTTTCGATGCATGAGCTTTGCATTTTGATGACTCCCCATTTACTGATGACAGTATATACTCATGCATAAGCCGAGTTTCCAGCACATTTTTAATGCAGTGTTTGTGGTAAAATTAGGTGTCTCGGCTGATATTCGGGTTGGCTTATACTCGAGTATGTACGGTGCCTTTCGTAGGTTGTGCTTTGATTATTAAACTAAAGTCTGGTAACTAGGTAATCCATTGTTAAAAGCTGGGCCTAACAACATTGTCTCTGCATTTTCTACTATGAATTTTGTGGTTTTAATTTTCACATTTAGATCCTTAATCCATTTTGAATTTGCTTATGTGAGTGGTGTGAGACATGGATCCCGTTCTGTTTTCTCCATGTGGAAACCTAATTTTCTCAAACCGTTTACAGGGACACTCTTCTTTCCTCAGCAAATGACTTGGCACCTTTATCTAAATTTACTTGAATTGGAATCCATTACGTGTTAAACCAGTACCAGGCTGTTTTGATTACTGTAGCTGTATAGTAGTTTTTAAAATCAGAAAATACGAATCCTCTTATGTTGTTCTTTTTTTAACATTGCTTTAGCTATTTGGAACCTGTTGACATACCTGTGTTTTTCATTTCTATAAAGGAGGCTGTTGGGATTTTGATCAAGATTGTGTGGATCTGTGATTAATTACTTTGGATTAGATATCTTAACAATATCAGGTTTCCACTTTATAGATAAGAAGCATCTTTTCATTCATTAAGTTTTCTAATCTGTCTCAGCAATGTTTTATGATCCCTGGTGGTACGGTGGTTATTTGTTGGGCTGCTAACTGCAAAGCCAGCCGTTCAAAACCGCCAGCTGCTCCGAGGGAGAGAGATGGGGCTTTCTCCTCCTTTAAAGAGTTACAGTCTCAGGAATTCACAGGGACTGTTCTATGTCCTGTAGGGTCACTGTGAGTTGGCAGTGACTCAATGGCAGTGGTTCTTGATTTTTTTGGGGGGGTAAGTCAGTCTTTCATATCCCTAGTTACATTTATTCTTAAGTAATTTAGTGTCTTAGATACTATTGTAAATGAATTGCTTCTCTGTTATACTTCTCATTGCTGGTGTCTGAAAATCTGATTTTTATTTGTTGACTTGGTTCCCCTAATGTCTTTGCCAAATTTCTCTATTAGATCTGAAGATTTTCTTGCAGACTCTTTGGGATTGTTTTATATATAGAATTGTGTTATCCACAAATAGAGTTATGAATCCCCTTTATAGCCTGTCCTTGTCTTACTGCTCTGACTGGAACTAATGTAGTATTGAGTAGAAATGGAGTATTGAGTAGAAATGGAGTATTGAGTAGAAATGGAGTATTGAGTAGAAATGGAGTATTGAGGAGAAATGGAGTATTGAGGAGAAATGGAGTATTGAGGAGAAATGGAGTATTTTATAAATGGATTTTATAAAATACTTTTTTCTGAAATTGATCATGTGGTTCTCTTTACTCTGTTGATACAATGTATTAACATTGATCGATTTTCTGATTTTTGAACCGTCCGGTATTATTGACAAAATGTTTTACTTGGTCATGCTGTGTTACTCTTTTCATCTGCTATTGGATTCTGCTGATAGTATTTTGTTGAGAATTTTTGCACTTACGTTTTTAAGAGCTTCCCACCCCCAGGCTGGCTTTGGTATCAAGGTTCTGATTTGTAAAATGAATTGCGTATTCTTTCCTTTTCTATCTTCAGAAAAGTTTAAACAGTATTGGTGCCCCCCATGCATATTTAAAATAAATAAACTGCACATATTAAAGTCTACATGACAATGAAAATAACGGACATGCCCATCACTCATCTTTGCTTTTTTGCTGCTAGGTCATATTCCTAAGCCCTTTGCGGTCCGACCTCTGTGCCTGATCCGCGATCTGTACAGTAGATTGATATGCATTTTAGAATTTTACATAAATGGAATCTTTCAATCTGTGTTCATTTCCCCCCCTATTTTTGTACATTTTCTTTCTCTTTGTATAATTACAGGAGAAAGAGAGTAGGCTTTCTACTCCCACAAAAACTTACAGCATTGGAGACCCATGGGGGCAGTTCTACCGTGTCCTGTCGGGTCGCTTTGAGTCAGCAGCAAGTTTGGAGTTTTTGTTTTGTATGGTCATGGTATTTACCAGTGAGTCATTATCAATACGTTTTGTTTTTATTGGGTGCTATTTCATTATATAGACCTATCACTTTGTTTACTCACTTAGCTATCAATGAATGTTTGGGTTGTTTAGATTTTTGTGTTTTACAAATACAGATACTATGAACATATGTGTACAAATCTTTTTGTAGACATATACTTTTATTTCTTTGGGCTAGATTCCTAGGAGTGAAAATGTTGAACCATGATGGTAGGTATATTTAATTTTTAAGTAAAGAAAGACTCAAGCATTTCACCAGCCTGTGTGAGCATTTCCACATCTTTGCCGACACATCGTATGGGCTGTCTTTTTCGTTTTTGGCCATTCTCTTAAGCTTACAGTAGAAGTTCATTTTGGTGTTAAGTTGCATTTTCCTATTTGCCAATGCTATACATATGTAGTCAGTCCTCATCATTTGTACATTTTATATTTGTGAATAGGCAGTTCTTTAAGTGTACTCAGCATTTGTAGTCATTTGTAAAAAGCCCTCAGCTGAGTAGGACAAGACTGGCTTGATGTTTGTTCCCAGTACTTTATGGAGCACAACAGTGACAAATACAAGAATTCTTATGGCATGTCTGATCAACCCTTGT